CAGGTGCATGCTACCATACCCAACTAATTTTTTTATTTTTTATAGAGACAGCAGTCTTGCTTTGTTGCCCAGGCTGGTCTTGAACTCCTGGCCTCAAACAATTCTCCCATCCCAACCTCCCAAAGTGTTGGTATTGCAAGTGTAAACCACTGAGCCCAGCTGGAGATTGAATTTTTAAGATTAGCAGCACCAGGGAATTATAGTTACTGCTATGCTTTTTTTTTTTTAAATTATTCACAACTTTATTTAAATTCTGATTCAAAGAAATTATAAAAACAAGTTTATAACATCTCATGAGATAATTAGAAATTTGAATACTGAATATCTGATAACATTGAGGAATTATTACTGTTTTCTGAAGTATAGTTATATCACTATTTTTTAAAGAATCATATTTTAGAAATACATACTGAAATGTTTATAGATGAAATATCTAGAATTTCCTTCAGAGTAATACAGGTGCCAGACGCAGTGGCTCACGCCTGTAATACCAGCACATTGGGAGGCTGAGATGGGAGGATCGATTGAGGCCAGTGGTTGAAGACCAGCCTGGGCAACATAGTGAGACCCTGTCTCTACAAAAAATTTAAAAAATTTAGCCGGGCATGGTGGCGTGCACCTATATTTCCAGGTACTCAGGAGGCTGATGCAAGAGGATCACTTGAGCCCAGGAATTTGAAGTAACAGTGAGTTAGGATGACACTACTGCACTCTACTCTAGCCTGGGCAACAGAGTGAGACGCTGTCTCAAGAAAAAAAGGTAATACTGAAAGAAGATTGAGTATAGTGGAAACAAGATTGGCCATGTATCAATAATTACTGAGGCTGGGTAATGGGCACATGGGAATTTACTAGTCCATCTACTTTTGTATAATTCAAAACTTTTCATATTGGAAACACAAAAATTTCCCCTTGTGTCAGATGGTATTAGAATGTTGGAATGACTATAAGTATTTTGGAGACTAAATCATGGATAAGATGAGTTGGAGATACATTTGGTTTAGTGGGATCTATTTATGTGGTTGATAGTTTCTTCTATGTATAGTTATTTCTTTCCTTCTGCAGTGGGATGACTTGGAGGGATACTCCTGCCTAGTGCACTGACAACCGGCATCAAGATGAAAGGTGCTGGGCCAGAAATTGAAACATAATGTCAGTGTGTCCCATCTTACTCCAATTAGAATGGCCATTATTAAAAAGTCAAAAAACAATAGATGTTGATACAGATGTGGTGAAAAGGGAACGCTTATGTACTGTCAGTACAAATGTATATTAAATTACTACAACCTCTGGAAAGCGATATAGAGGTTTCTCAAAGAACTAAAAGTAGACCTACCATTCGATCCAGCAATCCCACTACTGGGTATCTACCCAAAGGAAAAGAAATCATTGCATCAAAAAGACGCCTGCACTCACATGTTGATTGCGGCACAGTTCACAAACACAGAGATATGGAATCAACCTAAGTGTCCATCGACCAATGAGTGGATAAGGAACATGTGGAATATATATACTATGGAATGCTGATATCTTATCTGGCATCAGGTACATTCCTTGACTAGGCAAGATCTAGTCTCAACTTCCAAAAATGTTTCTGAAGATTTATTCAGGGGCTAGTAGTATAGCACAATGGTTAGACAGATCTGGATCTCATGCTTTCACTTACTAGCTTTTTGAGCTTATCAAGAAAGTTTCTGGCCAAGCACGGTGGCTCATGCCTGTAATCCTAGCACTCTGGGAGGCCGAGGCGGGAGGATTGCTCCAGGTCAGGAGTTCGAAACCAGCCTGAGCAAGAGCGAGACCTTGTCTCTACTGAAAATAGAAAGAAATTAATTGGCTAACTAAAAATATATAGAAAAAAAATTAGCCGGGCATGGTGGCGCATGCCTGTAGTCCCAGCTACTCGGGAGGCTGAGGCAGGAGGATTGCTTGAGCCCAGGAGTTTGAGGTTGCTGTGAGCTAAGCTGGCACCATGGCACTCTCACCTGGGCAACACAGTGAGACTCTGTCTCAAAAAAAAAAAATACTTATTAATAATGAATTTATTGTCATTGTGGATGATGTGACCTTAAGTTTTTAGAGAAATACCTTATATTTGTCCTCTAAACCAAGTATACTTTCATCAGCTAAACTAGCAACAATAAAATCTATAGAGGGAGTGATTTTCCTCTAGGGAATAGCATTTATTTTATTTTCCTTCTACAATTATTGCACCCACCTAAGGATGTGTACATGGGGATGGGTAGAGGAGGTTGTCCTGAGAACATCTGTTTTTTTAGTGTGTATGTGTGTAAATTCAGATTGCTAAGGCTCTCTGCTGACTTCTTTCCTGCTTGTAGACAGCTAAAAACTCCTGGTTAAAAACAAATTTTCTACTTTTTTGGTGAGTGCATAATAAATAGCCTACAGAAATAAGAGCCTTGAGGGTTAGAAGAGTTCTTGAGGCTTCCCTGAAGAGTTCTCTCTGGGTCTGGGCATTGCTTTCTAACAGGCTTCTAGGTCATCTGTACTACTCACAAAATATCCCACCCTGTGTGCCGGCGAAGTCAAACTACATGAGAGTGAGAAATTCTCTCAGGCCTGATTCAGTACAGTTGGGTGTGTGTTAGCCTCTGAGCCAAAGGCCCATATTGGGTAGTTTCAATCTGACCTGAAGTGTGTCCATCTGACCTGGTTTTGCTTTCAGGTCTCAGTTGCCCCATCTGCTACTTGGATGAGGATTAGCTTTGCACCACACCACACACATGCTGGGTGCAGGAGGAAGCTCAGTGATCACTGAAAAATACCTGCCCCATTTGGCCTCTTGAATTGTGTATAATGTTATTTGTGATCAAGAATTTGTTGTTTGTCTGTTTGCTGTTGTGGTTTTAACATTTCTTAGGCTCTTTTAGTCCTGAAATCTAAATGGCTGTGGGTTCAGAGCAATCTTGGCAGCACATCGGATGTGAAGTACACAGACATATGTTCCTTGGCAGGGGGGCACGAGGACAGGAAGGTGATTTGGCAATCAAGGGAAAGTGATGTGGGTTTCCTTAGCTGTACTGAGATATGCCAAGGATGTGCCAATATTCCTTGTGCAAAAGACCTTTGCAGATTTCAGTAAATATTCATCACAAGTGGTACTGCTAAAATCTAACGATAAGTCTTCATGAGCCTTTAAATGAAAACAAACAATATTTTCTCTTAACTTTAAAAGTATTGTATTTTCACGATGGAGAATTTAAATAATATAAAAATTTTTTTAAAAAATAAAAATCACCTGCAATCCAATTACTCAGAAAGAACCATCCTAAATGTGTTTTCTTCCAGTCTTTTTAGCTATAAAATATATGATGTAATGTTTATATTACCAAATACCTGTTCACAAGCATCAAGGGAGGCATAAAGTTAACAATGAAACTGCCCAGGCATTTGTAGGACTACCTATTTGAGTCTTACCTGAGATTTCCATTTATGCTTAAGACAGAAACAGAAGATTAAGTGCTTCCCTGAAGGTGAGTCCCAGGGTCAAAAGGAACATTACATTTGTCTCTGGGGTTTTAAAAGGAAGAGTATATTTGGCATCAGATGATAGCACAATGTCTTTCACAAGATAATAGGGGATTTTTCTCTAGGAACAATTTCTGATTCCAGCACAGGTGTGCTTTTGGAAAGCCTAGACCTCCTTTCTGTTGTTAATTTCAGACATTAGCTTATCCTCCATGGCAAAGTTTACATCTCCATTAAAAAACAATATTTAGGCCAGGCATGGTGGCTCACACCTGTAATCCTAGCACTATGGGAGGCCAAGGTGGGCGAATTGTTCTAGGTCAGGAGTTCAAGACCAACCTGAGCAAGAGCGAGACCCCATCTCTACTAAAAATAGAAAGAAATTAATTGGCCAACTAAAAATATATAGAAAAAAAAATTAACTGGGCATGGTGGTGCATGCCTGTAGTCCCAGCTACTCGGGAGGCTGAGGCAGGAGGATCGCTTGAGCCCAGGAGTTTGAGGTTGCTGTGAGCCAGGCTGACGCCACAGCAAACTAGCCCAGGCAACAGAGTGAGACTGTGTCTCAAAAAAAAAAAAGCAATATTTAGGCTGTGAACGGTGACACATGCCTGTACTCCTAGCACTCTGGGAGGCTGAGGTGGGAGTATGGCTTGAGGCCAGGAGTTCAAGACCAGCCTGAGGAAGAGCCAGACTATCTCTACAAAAAATAGGAAAATTAGCCCAGCATGGTGGCACATACCTGTAGTCCTAGGCTGAGGCAGGAGGCTCACTTGAGCCTGGGAGTTTGAGGCTGCAGTAAGCTATGATGATGCCACTGCACTCCAGCCCAGGCAACAGAGTGAGACTCTGTCTCCAAAAAAGAAAAACAAACAAACAAACAAAATATATATATATATTTAAAAAGTCTTTGATATAATAATAAAAAATACTGGGAGTGCCTTTATACAAAATGGATCTCTGGGAACTTATATTTCACATTTAGAAACCACCAGCATCTGGCAGACCAGGACATTTTCTAAAGTCTGTATGAAAATACATTATCACTATTATTTGAATTTTACCAGAGTTCGAGTTGCTGACAGAATGCGTGGAAAAAAATTTCTGTCTATATATAGGGCATTCCTCTGAAATCTTTCCCTACGGGCTTGTACAAAGCGCCGATTTTCCAGAAACATGTCCTATGGAAAATTCCTGAACAAGAGCTCTTGGTGACTCTTGATGACATTTCTGCTCTGATGAACACAATACTGGAGTAAAAACCTGACTCTTTCAATTGGTTAAAATTCAGATGAGCACAGTTATCAGCTCTCCGTGTAATCCCTGTTACCCTTCTGCTGCTATTGCTCTGGAAGTTGTAAGTTTTGGCTCTTTCTTCCCTGAAGCAAACTTTGGGTGGTCCCTTGTGGTGAGGGCCTTGGCTTGTTTACCAAGGATTAATGACAAGGTCCAAGTAAAACAAAACTATAGGCAGCCCAGTTCTAATCTAAGCCAAGTCCATCCTTTTATAGAACTCCAGCTGGTGGCATGTGATGTGGTGAAGCAAGCTTGAGTGGTGATTCTCAAAGTGTGGTCCCTCGGCAGGCAGCATCGGCATCACTTGGGACCTTATGAGATCGTGGGGCTCAGAAAATGATACCCAACGTTTGGCCCTTTCGCAAAGCAGCAAAGTCTCTCTGACGGTCTCCTGTCCTCCCGCCTCTCACCCTCCCTTCTTGCCCAAGACAGGCTTTGCTGGGTTTCCCCACTCAGTTTAATACCTTTAGATCTTTTGTGCAATCCCATTTCTATACATCTGCCAGTTCTTCACGGACCTAAACATACAAATAGTTTTTTCTGAGTCTTTGGGTCTTCATTTCTGAAGGCTCCTGTGTCACGTAAAACTTTGATTAAATAAGTTTGTTGTGCTTTTTCCTTGCTAACTTGCCTTTTATTATAGTAGTGTCCACTGTGACTGCTTATGAGGGGGAGAAAAGGTATCACACCCCCTCCACCGCTACACAGACATGCAAATGTTTGAGCCCTGCCTCTGATTTACTGAAACTGAAACTCTGGGAAGGGGGCCCAGGAAGCTCCTTTCAACAAGCCTTCCTGGGGATTATTATGCATGCTAAAGTTTGAGAACCACTGGGGGGGGGGCGTGGAGCAGGGGCTAGAATACATCACCAAAGGATGTAGGGTTTACCATTCCAATAATTCCATATTTTCCTGTCCCTCTCCAATTGTATAGTTCTGCAGGGCATCTGTAAAAAGAAAAATGTATTAAAAAGATGTCTGTGCCCATCCCTCAATCAGGTTGTTGATAAGCAGATTTGACAAATTATTCAAAGCAGATTTGAATAAATGTTCACATCGAGTTCAGTTCAGAGAGGCAGTGTTTCCCTTGTGGCTAGAAAGGTTCAGAGGCACGTTCTTTTCATCACTCACCTGTCCTGTTCTTTTTCACTCTGGAAATACAAAACCTCCTGTAGACATATCAAATAAAGATGGTTATTATTCCCCGAGCTGCCAGGTAGATCCGGACAGAAATACCACACGTGGTGATTTTCAGAGCCCCCAGGGACAGTCCTTTTTGTTTTCCTGGATGACATCCCTCTCACCTATGGGATTTGGAGTCTGCCTTTCTGCAGGCTTTGCCAGTTAACTGAGTTCTAAGCTTCAGCCTCCTCATTTATAAAATGAAGACTGGAATAGTTTCTATCTCATAGGATTGTGTTAAGCATTAGATAAAATTATTTAATACCCTCATTTTTAAATTTTTTTTTTGAGACAGAGTCTCGCTTTGTTGCTCAGTGACGAGTGCAGTGCCCATGGCATCAGCCCTAGCCTCACAGAACCTCACATCTCCTGGGCTCAAGCAATCCTTCTGCTCAGCCTCCCGAGTAGCTGGGACTACAGGCATGCGCCACCATGCCCAGCTAATTTTTTCTATATATATTAGTTAGCACATGCCTGTGGTCCCAGCTACTTGGGAGACTGAGGCAACAGGATTGCTTGAGCCCAGGAGTTTGAGGTTGCTGTGAGCTAGGCTGACACCATGGCACTCACTCTAGCCTGGGCAACAAAGTAAAACGGCTGGGCATGGTGGCTCACGCCTGTAATCCTAGCACTTTGGGAGGCCGAGGCGGGCGGATTGCTCAAGGTCAGGAGTTCTGAAACCAGCCTGAGCGAGGACGCCCGTCTCTCCTAAAAATAGAAAAATTAATTGATCAACTAAAAATATATATATACAAAAAATTAGCCGGGCATGGTGGCGCATGCCTGTAGTCCCACACCTACTTCGGGGAGGCTGAAGGCAGGAGGCTTTGAGCCTCAGGAGTTTGAGGTTGCTGTGAGCCAGGCTGACGCCACGGGCACTCCTCTAGCCTGGGCAACAAAGTGGACTCTGTCCTCAAAAAAAAAAAAACAGAGAAGTAAGAGAAGGGCCATTTACCTTTGCACTTCCACCATGCATTATCTTGTTTTCCTAGTATCTTGTCATAGGAGAATATTTTTCATGTTTTTAAAATTAATTCTATAAAAGTAACATGCAGGTGGTCACAGTGATGCATGCCTATAATCCCAGCTACTTGGGAAGCAAGGGGATTGCCCTGAGCCTAGGAGTTTGGAATTATAGTTTGCTGTGGTCGCTCCTGTGAATAGCCACTCCACTCTGAAAACATAGCAAGACCCTGTCTCTAAACAAAATTAAAACGCAAACAATATGAAAGAGCATAAAACAAAGAGTGAAAGGCCTCTTCTTCAGCCCAATCCCAGACTGATGCCATAGTGGGTGCCACTGTTAATGGCTTCTTGGATCGTTTTAGAAAATTCTTACTTAGGTAGAGTCCCATCTAAAGTTAGCACTTTAATTCAATCTGTTCCTGGATCTAAAAAATTAAAATTTTTAAAATTAAAAATATAAAATTACCATTGTACACCTTTTTCCTACTGGTGTCTATTATATTATAACATTATATCACACGTGTTAACATTTGCTACTGAGGGAAACATAGCTCCTTCCCAGTGCATTTGAAAAATTCCAGATGGTCAAGAAGTTTTGGAAGTAAAAATCGATGAAAAAAGGGGGACAAATATATTATGAACACAGTTACACTTGTTTTTAAAAACAAACATTTGGTGAGAACCAAACATTTGGTGAGAACCAATAAGGATTTGAAATTATACTCACTAGAATACTTCCTAGGAAATGATGTTCAAGCTGAGGAGACTCAGGCTCTGGTGATCAAAGTGTTGATAAAAGGATCTTAGCTTTGCAATTCAGTTGTAGATGGACTTTGCAATATTGCACAGCTTCAATTTCTTCATAACAATGATTTCTTCTTTCCTGGGTTAAAGTGATGATCAAATGAAACCATACATGAAAAATGCTCTGTAAATTATACAGTACTCTAAGAAATGATTGCTCTTTAAAAAAAAAAAAGAGAGAGAGAGACAGGGTCTGCTTATGTTTCCCAGGCTAGACTCAACTGTGGCCTCAAGTGATTCTCCAGCCTTCTGAGTGGGTGGGACTACAGGCTTGAGCCACTGTACCTTGCTCTTTTTGCTGTCATCTTAATTCTTTTCAAATGAGATTCCTCCGACAGAAAAGAAAAGAAGGTCTTTAAATTGTTTTTGCTCTGTGGGAAAGACTAAGGAGACATAAACAATTGTACATAACATCTTCTACAATGTGATAACTGCAGTTGTAGTTGCACCAACATAGGCCTCTCTGTGAAGAGATTTAAACAGTTTCTAATAATGTCATCAGTATAGGTGCATGAGGGGTATAGTTAGGTTGGGTCAGGGAAAAAATGAGGCACTAAATGGTTTTGTGTTGCTTGACGACTCAGGATATAGGAAAAAAAAGCCAAAA